AATCTCTTTATAATTACATACTTAAAATACAAAAATGAATAATTGTAGAAAAGTGTATTAGTTTTAAAAATTAAATTTATTATATTTAATAATACAGTTTAATCTTTTTATAGTTATTTTCTATATATGTATATTTTTTTTATAAGTATATTTTTTAAAAAATAAACTATTATTAAATATAATAAATTTGACTTTTAAAACTGTTGTACTTTTTTACAATCATATAATTTTGTATTCTAAGTATATAATTATAAAGAGGTTTGACTATAATTTGTTTATAAAAAAATATACTTATAAAAAAATATATTTATATAAAAGGTAACTATAGAGAGGTTAGACTATATTATTAAATATAATAAATTTAATTTTTAAAACTGTTACACTTTTTTATAATTATACAATTTTGTATTCCAAGTATGTGATTATAAAAGAGGCTTGACTATATTATCTATAATGATAATTTTACATAGTAAAATATTATTATAGTTAAACCTCTTTATAATTACATACTTGAAATACAAAATTGTATAATTGTAGAGAAGTGTGGCAGTTTTAGAGATCAAATTTATCATATTTAATAATAGTATGTTTTTAAAAAAATATACTTATAAAGAAAATATATTAATATAGAAAGTAACTATAAAAAGATCAGACTATATATATAATAATATTTACTATATATAATAAATATTATTATAATTACAATCAAACCTCTTTATTATCACATACTTGGAATACAAAAATATGTAATTATAAAGAAGTGTGATAGTTTTAGAGATCAAATTTATTATATTTAATAATAAGCTGGTTTTAAAAAAATATACTTATAAAGAAAATATATACTTATATAGAAAATGACTATAGAGAGGTTAAATTGTACTACCTTTTGTAATAAATAATTTTTTATATTATTACATCTTACAGTTTGAATTATGGCGTCAATTATTAGTAAAAATAAAAAAGGATTTTATTTAATCTGGGTTATTTTAACTATAATATACTTATATAATTAGTATAGCTTAAATTAAACTCTGAGATATCAAAAAAGTTATATAATTTAATACTTTGATACTAACTAATTATATTATAACATTTTTAACTTGAACTAATTTTTGTTTAAATAAATCTGAAGTAGTTTAATTTAAATGAAATTAGAGTTTCTAGATTTAATTCAGTCTTAGTCTAAGTTTGATCAAATTCAAACTCAAACCAAACTAAACCTATGAATTTTATAATATTTGAATTCAAATTCAACCAAATATAAAATTATTGAATTCAAACCAAACCCAAATATTATTAAAAGTTTAATCTGAGTTAGATCTAAAATTTTGTAAACATATCCAAATTTGAATTAATAAAAATAAATAAATTAATATTGTTTAAAATATATATAAATATAGATATGTATTAAAGATTCAGTAAGTTATACAGTCAAACCTCTTTATAATCACACACTTGGATACAAAAATATGTGATTGTAAAGTGTGACAGTTTTAAAGATCAAATTTATTATATTTAATAATAGATTGTTTTTTAAAAAATATACGTATAAAGAAAATATACATATATAGAAGATGACTATAGAGAAGTCAAATTGTATAAAAAAATAATTTGAGCAGAGTTTAATAAGGCCACTTCAAATTAATTTTCTGTTTAACATAACATAAAAGTCGCCTATGAGAGTGGGTTAGGGCATTAAAAAAAAACATAAAAAATACAGTAATTCTATTGACTGTAAATAATATAAAAATGAAAAAAGTTAATATTACAATTTGATTAATTAATATTATGTGTTTTTTTATGCAAAATGTAAAAAATAGAGGGCATTATGTTAACAGAGAATTAAATTGGTTTGGCCTAAGTTATATAAAAAATAATTTGAGCAAGGTTTAATAAATAATTTAAATGAAGGTTCAGTAAATAATTTCAGTAAATTATATAAAAAATAATAATTTGAGTGAAGGTTTAATAAGTTATATAAAAAAAATAATATGAGTGAAGGTTTAGTAAGTAGCAAAGGTTCAGCAAGTTATATAATAAAATAATTTGAGTGAAGGTTTAATAAGTAATTAGAACAAAGGTTAAGTAATTTGAGCGAAGGTTCAATAAGTTATATAAAAAAATAATTTGAGCGAAAGTTTAATAAGTAACTTGAGCAAAGTTTTTGTAAGTAATTTGAACGAAAGTTTATTATTCACTCTGTATTGTTATCATTAAATAATTTGTTGACCTGCATAATAAAAAAAATTTTTCTTATTTCGTCAGTGAGAGTCTCTAAACATTTCCATTTAATTTTCTGATTACAAAATTTTGATACACAAATAAGATTTTTTATACTCTTACTTATTTCTGAAATACTCTATTTTTTTTTTTAATTATGAAACCTCTTATTGTTACTATATAAATAAGTTTACAAAATTATGAATTACTGATTTCTAAATAAAATACATAAATAATTTAATTCGAATCAAAAACCTGGACATTAATTCTGAATCACCCTAATAGCGATAGTTTATAAAATGGAGTTTTAGATCAACTGAACATGTTCGCGAACTTTCAAATTCAAACTCAAATCAAACCAAATTTAAATTAAAAAGGTTGTTTTTAATCCGATTCAAATATTTTTTTTAAGTTTGGGTTTGGTTTGAAAATCGCACCAGATTCAAACATAGCCCAAAGTTTGATTTGATCCAATCCGATAGGAACCCTAACCCAAATTCGAATTCAAGTAAATTTAAAGCATTTAAACTTAAACTAAATTCTAGTTTAAGTAAATCTAATGCTTTTTTTTTTTTTAACCCAACTATGTAACATGATAATATCATTAGAGTTTGTAGCTAACATTTTCATTTATTAATATTTTTTTCAATATTTTAGAAATCATTTGGAATAATAATTGTAAACTATGAATTATTTAAATCACCATGGTACTAAATTTATTGAATTACCTTATGTGTGGGCTAGGTGCTGCAAAAAGGGACCAAATTGACAAAACAAAAGATCTTCGGAAAATCAATTTTTATGTTATAAATCTCATAATAAATCATAAGAAAATGCAAATCTTAAAGAGCAATATAGCAAAATTTTATTAATACAACTACTTTGTGTTTTAAGTAAAAAATGGTCTCAATCTTATTCTAAATTGTTTTATGTGAAAAAATATCTTTTGAAAAAATTGTCAATTTGGTCCTTTTTTGCAGCACCTAGCCCATGTATATTAAAATATGACAACATTTAAAGTTTGTAAATAATGCTACCTTATTTATAAAAAAGAATTTATAAGATAATTAGCAATTAACAACAATGCATTTATCTTGTACCAATGTAGCATATTCTTCCACTTCGTTTTTAATATTATCATCCAAATCCGAATAACTTTCTATACCCACATAATTCAAAGTTCTTTTTCGTATGCAAAATTCGATTAGCTCTTTAGTCTTCTCGTTGTCAAGGCGACTAATTAACAATTTTTTTAAAGGCGTATTGCAATATTTGAGCAAAATATCTATATATGAATTTATCCAAGTAACCCTTAAGTCAAGATATTGCAATGTTAACGGCAATATATCCGCAAAATGAATAATTCGTATTTTTACTTCTTCTGGTACATTTCTGTTATTAATAACAACGCGCCGTAATGTGAGGAATTGAAGCTTTTGTAAGGTGTCAATAAGTTCCAGGAAATGTGTGGAAATCTCAAGATTCGCAATGTTGAGATATGTAATGTTTGGGCAGAAGGATTTAAGTGCTTTTAGTAATATTGATTGCTCAAAACTAGCATCAGAATAGATTTTTAATCGTTGTAGTAATATACCAGACGTTTCTAGAATTTGTACTATAGCTGGTACATTAATTTTGGGAATAGTTATTTCGAAAGTGCTAATATTATTAAAATTTATTATTTTCAACAGCTTCAAATAGTCGCAATTCCTAATACGAATAATTTCCAAATTTGTAAAATATTTCAGAATATCGAACTCGATGCTAAAATCACAAAATTCTATTCTAAATTCTCGTAATGAGCTTTTTTGACTCTCTAAAGCCGAAATGATGCCGTGGAATTCTGTAGGTGATACTCTTCACAAACTAAACTAAATTGTCTAAGTTGCCTTATTGATTTAATAATACATATTAGAGCATGATATAATTGCGGTTCATCATAAAACAGATAAAATCTGTGGAATTTCAAAGCACTAATTTTTTGTAGCATTTTTTGCTAAAATAGTAACACTATCATTGTCGTAGCCGGAGTGTGATATTTCACCCAAAGATAAATATTGGAGTTGTGAGAAAATTGCTCATTTTGTTCTAACAAGTAAAAGATCACTGGTTCAATATTAAAATAATTAGGAATATAAAAATAAAGTTTATGTAAAGAGGCACCACTTTTGATAAATAATTCAAATAATAAATTAACTATAGAATTCAACGTGTGGTAATATGCTCCATAAGATACTTGATATCAACCAATTCAGCGACCTTAATTTCTAAACGAGATAGATCAAGAACCTTTAGAAATCTTGCATGATCAAATAATGTTTTGGAAAATTCTGCAATGATTCCGCATTCTTTTAAACCGATTCTTTCTTTTTCGCCAAGAACCAAAAATAGTTAGAAATGAATAATGGATTCTGTTCGGACGAAAATGGATCTTGCCAAAGAATAGGAATTGACATTTTGCACCAATGTCGATTCACAAGTGCGCACGAGTATAAAGAATAGAACTCATTATTTAAATTATTAAGAATTTTTTCCATTAATTCGAGCATATTGCCCATGAATATTATTGATGCCATGAAGCGTCAATGAGAAAGGATTTCTGTTATTGTTACAAAAGATTGTGTGTAGAATGGTAAATCACTTGAACCAAGGTTACGTCACATTTACGTGAGTATTTAATCAAGGATCATTAATACTGTAATATCGATATCGATATAATTAGTTAATAAGATCAGTAACGTAATCAGTTAATCAAAGGGTCGGAAGCTAGAAAATCGAAAATGTTGACAAATGTATCGAACGATTTATGTATATAAACTTTTGCTAATAGCTCGATAACAATTATAAAACTTATTCAAACGTTCGAGAGTTCGATTTCTTGTATCTATTTATTAATGTCTGAACTTTATTGAAGCACGAAAAGGTCGATTATGATGAAACTTTGATCTCATTGAATATATTTTCCTTGAGTTACATTTTCTTTGAAACCAATTCTATTTTCATTGAAACTCTGTCTTCACAGAGATTTTACTTTCCTGCTTTCCAACGGTTGTTCGACTTTCGACACAATTATTTTCCAAATTCGTATTCCACACCTGCCTTAGTTACCACCGTAAGATTACGTTTTATTTATAAAACATTTTAAATCACACTAGTGGTGTTCAACACAATAATTTTTATTTTTTTTTTATAGTGGTTTTGTTGTCAATATTTAGAATTAGAAATTATGGCAAGATTAAATGTTAAGTTAAATGTTAGATTGTAAATAAAATTAGGAATATATTTTTTAGAGTGCTAATTATTTTTGCTTAGGATTCAAGCATTAATAGCTGAATACGTACCATTGGTTTTAAAATGTGAAAATACTTTTAATTTGGAGGTTTTTACAATTTGGCTGACAAGTATCTAATAAAATTATTAACTACTGTTAGCCACTGCTGACAGTATCCCCAAAATAATGACCCATAATTAGCACTATAACCTGTTTCTTGAATAAGAGCCGAGGTATAACTATATTGATTTACTACTTTTTATATCTCCAAATATAATACCCGATTTTTCGTACAATAATCCCGGGCAGAGTTGGAAACCTGAATTGGTTTAATATTTCAAGCAATTTTTTCCTATCTGTGACAAGTGCTTTAAAATTTTGATAATTGAAGTTTTGTACGATCTACAATTCTCCAGAATATAATAGAGATGTTTAATATCATATTTTATACATTATATTCTCGAAAAACAATATACAAAGAAGCACAATGACGTTAGGTTCTTTGATCTAACTGTAATGAATCCCACATTAATAATAATTGTTCAATCTAATTATGATGATAATTATTTTGCTATAATCACACAACATATAAACCATAAACGTAATAATAATAATAATAATAATCTTTTTATTGTAGCCTTTTTTTTAATCAAAATATGAAATGATACAATTGTTTGGGTTTGAAACAGTCATTTTCATTTATTAAAATTTTGTTTCAAATATTCATCTTTTAACCGTTAATTTTCAGAGATTATTTGTACTAATAACATAAACTATAAATTATTTAAATCCTAACAAGCTCGAAATAATCCATTCTTTAACCTTACTTTCTAAACGAGATAGATTTAAAACTTTTAGAAATCTTACATAATCGAATAATGTTTTTGAATATTCCGCATTTATTCATGAATTTTTTTCTTCGCAAAATATTTAGAAGCGAATAAAGGTCTTTTTTGAAGGGTAGGAATTGATATTTCACATCAATGTCGGCTCACAAGAACGTATAAATATAAGGAATAAAATTCGTTATTGTTGCAATACGTGCGTGCGTATTTGTTGTGATTTACTTATCGCGTGGTTATAACTTTATCATTTTTTGATTAGGGTGAGTGCTAAGTTTGTTTTTATTTCGTTTCCATGTTTGTGCAATACTATAAGAAAAACTTTTTTTTTTGATAAAATTCTGTATCACAGGTTCGAAATGTTTGGCTTTTTTGGGAATAAAAATAAAAAAAACTTGTTACGTAATACATCCGTTCATATGTTTCACGTCAGTTTTCATTTAACAAGTCATGCGCCTGCCCATGCGCTGGGACTTTTTAATTTTAGCGTTGCCACTACTATCCAATCGAATTTCGTATTTGTTATAACATGGTAATTATCTTTGCTGTATCATGTATAATAGGCTTAATGGTCTAAGTGGAATATTCAAGTTTCGATTTTATTATGCATTTATGTAAACAGAATAAAAAGGCTAGTAATTGGAGAAAAATAGACATTTTTACCGTATTTTTGGGCTAGTGAATTTTAATGCCCTTGTCTCATTCTCATCTTGGTCCATTTTGTTTCAAATTTGATTTTGTAATTATGGGATCGCGATGTGTTATATTGGTAATAGATAGTATGTTTATTTATTTATTTAAAAAACTTACTAGCTATTTCGAGAACACACAGTATATGTTAGTTTGTATTGGCATTATCGCTGACGTCTATAGTAATTTGTTGTGAAAAATTCATTTAAAAAAGCTTACCGACTATAGCGGTAACACAGTGTGTAGTTAAAGTTATGTTAGCTTGTATTGGTATTATCGTTGATAATTTACTGTAAAAAATTCATTTAAAAACTTACTTGCTATTGGCGATGACACATAGTATGTAGTGAAAGTTATGTTAGTTTGTATTGGCATTGTCATTGATGCCTATTGTAATTTACTGTAAAAAATTCATTTAAAACTTACCAGTTTATAGTAATACTCGGTATGCAGTTAAAGCCATGTTAGTTTGTATAGGCATTATCGCAAAGCGGAAAGCAAGCAGCTTGCTGCAAAAATTCAGTAACTACAAAGCCATAGAATAGGAAGCTTCTAAAGACCGTCTTTAAGAGAAAACAACGAAATGTTGACTCCAAATAATGACAAAAATGATAATAAAAGCTACAAAAATTAAATAAAATAATGAGTACAATACACAAAAAAAAAAAAATCAACCAAAAAAAATAAACAAATTAGATTTGTGCATGAATTGGGAATTCTTAGTATCGTTTAAATGTGTTTTTTTTATTCATGTTAGTTTAAAATATCCAATTATTGCACTTGTTAAATTACAGTCAAACCTCTCTACAGTCACGCCCTCGGTTCCAAGAAATTCTGTGCTTATAAGCAATTGAGCCTGTATAGAGGGCAAATTTCTTATGTTTCATATAAGTTTGTTTTAAAAATTAGTGTGCTTATAAAGAGGGTGTGACTATATAGAGAGTGACTGCATAGAAGGCAGATTGTACTTTAAATGTGTCTAAAATAATAGATCTGCAATGAATTTGATTTGTTTGCGCCTTCTAATGGTATTTTTTTTTTAGTATATATTAATAAGAATAATCTTTTATTTTTTCTTTGTTAGATTAAAAATTTTTAGGTACGTACGTACGCACATACGTTGTAAAAAGGGTAAATCGTGGCTTGGAATGAATTCTTTCGCGCATAGTATATCAGATGCACATTAGGTTTAGAATATTTGGCACATTTTGAACATATGTGTACATTTTGTACATGGAAGCCGTGTACATTTTGGACATAGACGCCATGTACATTTTGTACATAGCGATCCACATCAAAGAAAAACCCATAGAAACTTGTTAGATAGCGAACATAGCCCGGTTGTAATAACAAACGGTCTAAAAATATAAAAGACCCACCTTCTTGCTTTAATAAAGGAGAACAAACTAAGTTAGAGTTGGTAGAACTCATTAGAGTTCGACTCATAAAGAGTCTAGTATTCTGACTTAAAAGTTTCGCTCCAATTACCCCATAAGTTAGTAGTCTAAACCCGTGATCCCGAAGTAGCCAAGTCTTCCACGCCTCTTTCGTGCCTACCACCATTAGGTTTCAGTAGAGTTTAGTAGTTTAGAGTATTGTTTAATTTTAATGTTGGTTGATATCCGTATTGCACATATTTTGTGATTCCGGATCGGTTCCCATTTTTACACGTACATATTTGATTTTGAGAGATATGCGATTGTTTGATCAATAAAATTAGTATCTAAGTAATTTCATAGAAATTAATTTTTTGTAAATAAGCAATTTTTAAATTGCGGGTCAAAAGGGGAAAAGAACAATGACTTTTGATAACTGCAATCGAGATACGTATTTCACTTGAAATTTTAACTTCAATTATAACAAATCGAGTCAAACAATAATTAATTTGGTAATTGCATAGTATGCAAATTGAATAGTTGTCCTTTTGATCGACATTTATTTTCATCACATATATATTCGTCTGTTGTTCGACTAGCGAAAAAATTTTGAGCGCTATTGCGCTTGCGCTGCGCTGCGCCTTGAAATGATGTTTTTAATGCTCGCGCTAGCGCTAAAGAATACCTTTTATACAATCGGTTAAAATTCATGACACCAGAAATTACTTTAAAGAGTTAAACCGGAGAAATCAATTATTAACATTACTAAAGTAAGCGATGAAACAAGATTTACAAAAAAAGCAATAGAGCGTACCGCAAAGCACAACCTATTTCTTCTAAGCGCTAAATAACCAACTATATAATAACTAATAATTAGTATGCTTCATTTGAAGATTAATATAAAAGATGTAACAAATGCATATCTGCATATTGTACATATTAAATAGTTTCTTCTAAATCTGCAAGCAATACGTACGATAAGAGGGTTCATTTTAAAGAATTTTACAACAGATTAAACATGTCAATTAGAATTGAATTAGAAAGACAATGCATAAATATTAAAATATCTTTTTAATGGATGCATGTTTGATAAAAATACAAAAACAAATAAAATTCTTTACTAAATAATCTTAACTATTATTAAAAAGCAATGTAATATAAAGTTTAGCTTCTAGTTCAAATAATAATCTGGATTGCATGACTTTAGAGGATAGAATTATGATAAAGGAAAAAAAATAAAAAATTGAAGTCAGATTTTAAAATAAAATCAAATAAATGGTTTAGTCAAATACTAAAAATCAATCTTCCTTCAGATACAGTATAAAATAAAATATCATATTTAAAAGACTTATAAATTTATGACTATCTATCTGATTTGACCAAATAACCATCTAAAAATGCTTTTAATTCATCAACATCATCTTCAAACACTGCACTAGCAATGTATAAATCAGGTCGAACAAGTACGAAAGCCTGTTTCCCATTCTCCTTAGTAATACCATATTTTTCGTGCAATTCAAATCTGTTTTCAACAAATATATGCTGTTCTCTGCCTTCTTCTAGGAATGGCATGAATGGTACATCTGCGATCTGGACGACACCTTGAAATGAAATAATAATAGGTGTGATGGTGGTTTTATAAGTAGTGTAGATCTTCAACAGTGTATCAATAAGTGGATTTCTATCAGCAGTGACTCCATTACTTAGAGTAAACAATATTAAAGTGTGTTTCATTGCCGTTGAACGTAAGATATCATATAAAGTTACGTGATCATTAATTTTGTGAGGAATTACTTTCATTAGTAGTCCGTCTAATGCGAAATGACCTGCTTTAACCAATTTGTTTTCTTTGCTTGAGTGAGGTTTATAATTGTGAAGAATCCCTGATGCCTCAGACGAGTAATTAAGTTCTATTTGGAATAAATTACTTTGGGTATTAAGTGCAGTTTGAGGAAAGAAATGGATCATGAAAGGAGCTACGTGCGTTCGGAGGAATGTATTAATCACGTCACCGTTACTTAGAAGTTTCGTAGCAAAGCTGGTACTTGAAACAATATTTTTACCAACGGGATATCGTTCTTGCTCATAACTATCAAGAAGTTTATTAATGTCAACTGCCTGATTTCGAATAGCTAGAACTAATTTGAATGCTAAGTTATGAACGTCCTGAATTCCTAAATTCATGCCTTGACCTCCTACTGGTGAATGACAATGAGCAGCATCTTTTTTGATAAAATAATAACGATAATATATATTATATCATTGATAATTATTGAAGTAAGAACATGTGAAAAGTAAATTTTATTTACCTCCAGCGACAAAAGCACGCCCCGTTCGATATCTGTTTACAATCCTTTCATTAATCCTAAAATTGGAAATCCATACCGGATTCTTTAGTTCTATTTTAATTGGGGCAATTCTCTCA